TATGTATCTCCTTAAACAATAAAAGAATAAAACAACAATTTTTTAGAGTGCAAGGGTGTAAAATCAGCAGATTTTTAAACTTTTTGAAAAGTTAAAAAGCTTGCTGATTTTATATTATTGTTTTAAAAATCTTTTAAATTTTCATTAGTTATATTAAAAGTGTGATTTTAGTTTACTCTCTTCATTTATAAAAATAATATTTTCTGTGATTTGTTTCTTTTCTAGCTTAAAAATTTGTAAATTTATATTTGTTCTTTAATAATTTGATAGTTTTCTTTATTCAATTGATAACTGTTCTGAAGACAAGAATAAATCTTAACAATAATAGAATGTTACCTGTTACAAAAATTTTTCATATCTAAGGATAGTTTTCTTTAATAATACTAGAATAACTAGCAAAATTAAAACAAATTAAAAATTAAAAATGTCCTTATCAATGCTCTTTCATTCTTGTTGTTTGTAATTTATAGGTCTATAATTTTTTCAAATTGTAGATCTATAAATTCCCACTGTTGTCCATCTGTCTTTCCTTAATCTCGAGAACAAAGTTAGACAGATAAAATCCAAGACAAGATATGGAAACCTGAGGGGCAGAAACCCTGATTAACTTCAATGAAAATGTATATGAACTTCCAATGCAAACTAGAAGTCACATTATTTCAATTCAAAATTTTTACCCTATATGGGGTTAAACAGATGATGGCGTGACTCTGTTGGAAAAGTATGATGTACAGGGGCAAGACATTACTAATTTGAGGCAAAGAGCATATATCCATATATATAAAAATGGACATGTGTGTCCCTATATTTCACTTTTCAGCCAAAACTATGCATCGCACCTGAATGGTGTTTGTATGTGGTAGTAGCCCCAAGTCTCCATTCGTGCACTATGGTGGTTGCGTCTCGATAGCTATAAGGGTGCAGGAGATATGAGGGCTTAAAGTGGTTGATTTCGAAGATTTTCTAATTTTGATTTTAAAAATGCTCGAACCATTTTAAATTCGAATTTGTATTCGAATTGGTTTGATTATAGAACAATTGTAAATGTTCCAGAAAATTGATCAAATTGAAAATAGTTTGTTTGACTGGACGTAAAAATTCTCTAATTAGTCTGGAAACGGGGGACCTAATTCTTGCATTCTGTGCTATAAGAGTGTGGGAGATATGTGGTTGACTTCGAAGATGTGTAACGATGGAAGTGTCAACAATAGAAGTGTTAACAGTGGAAGTGTTGAGTAACAAAGGAAGTGTTAATATAAAGCGGCATGCAAGATTTACAGGCGGTTTTTTGCGTTTTTGCGGGAAATCAAACATATTTTTAGATTCATGTAAAAATTCTCTAATTAGTCTGGAAACGGGGGACCTAATTCTTGCATTCTGTGAAAACGGGTAAGATTGGCTATAATGTAATTATCTTAAT